CATGGTTCCCTGCCTTTGCCAGGTGGCCAGGCTTTTAGCTTTGTGTAAGCAAATAAGAGCAAGACTGTTGCACAGGAAATGGTGGCCCCCTGGAAGGCTTGAAACTCCTTTTCTCCCCCAGAGAAAAGAATGCTTCTAGAATCCAGAAGGTCAAATAACACAGGCTCTAAAAAGAGTCCAGCCTGTTGTAATGACCATGGAGGGAAATGGGACAATGCCGTAGATGTCTTTAGGAGGTGAATATCAGCCACCAAACTAGTGACCAGGAAAAAGCTCGCATGAGGTTCTCTCAATTTCTGAAGTGGGGAGGAATCCAGGTCAGCAATGTACAGCCCTTGAGGGTAGAGAGGGGCAAGAGACACTTACCTTCCTCAGTTTGTCATACTCAATCAGTTCAGGTCTGTGGCGGTGGATGAGGGCATTGAAGGCCAGACCATCCTTCCAGCTGTAAGAGAAGGCAAAGGTGGGTCCTTGCTACCCTGGGAATCGTGATGGCCCCTGTGAGCCTTGACTAACATACAGAACGCTCCGTGTGCAACAGACATGGAATGCCAGACAGTCTGGGGTAAAGCATGATGAAGCACTGATTTGGCGCTGACAATAAGACCTCGAGCAAGTCACAGAACTGCTTCCTCAGTTTCCATGCCTGTAAAGTGGGGATAGTGGCAGCAGCTAGCCCAGAGTTGCTATGAGGACTGAGTTAATGCTTTCACAGAACCTTACATGGGTGTGACTGGGTGTCTGCTGATCAGTGAGATGGCCTAGGCAGCCTAGCCCTGCATACAAGGGCTCACCAAACAGGATAGGCCTGCAGGGCACAGCTCTCTATGGGAGGTGGGGGTGGGATCCTGAACCCTGGCTGACCCAATCATGGAGGCCCAGGCCAGGGGCTGGCTAAGTGCCTGGGTGTTGGGTGGCCTGAAGTTCTCTGGAGCAAAACGATCCCTACAAAGTCACAAGCTAGACTAGGCACATTTTCGTCTCCAGCTCCTGTAAGGTTTGGGTTGCTTCCGGGATGGATTTCTGATTCACCTGCTCAGAATGGCTCTCCTACTTCCCGTCTCCTCACTGTGTGAAATGAGCAGCCCAGACATCTGTATCTGGGCTGGAGGCGTTCTGTGCCTCCATGTGTAGAAGCAGCAGGCAGGCTATAGATCGTTACTGACTCAGCAAAGAAGAGGTACTTAGCAGAGCCACCCAAGGGGACCACGTGCATTTAAGGACAGAACACGAGAAGGATTCTGACATCAGCATGGGGGTCCCCAGAGAGGCAAAGGACACAGCAGGGCCCAGTGGGTCCTGTCCCAGAGGCTTAGATGGTTAAGTTGGGGGGCACCCTGGCAGACAACAGTCTCCTGTGCTCTGGCCTCACATTGCACAAACTGCCCACTGCAGGTGTGACCCCCTCACCCCAGAACAGCAGACCTCTGGCAGGGTGGGGCTTTGCCCACGTTAGCAGATGGAGAGCACATTTTCTTAAGTTAAACACAATGGCAGCCTAGGCACTGGCCCCTCTTGCAACCTCCAATATAAAGAGTCCGACTATGGCCTCCAAGAGGCACCTTGCTGTTTTAAAATGGCAGTCTCCTCTCTGAACAGACTTCCCAGTGGGCACACAGGGACCCATAGCAGGGCAGGGGTTTACTGAGCTTGCTCTAGAACAGACCAGGATGAAAACACAAGGAAGCAAGCACCTGGATCCCAGGCCATGCAGGTTCCTGCCAGACACCCACCTGATATGGAAGTTCTGGACGTTGACGTTTTTATATGGGGCCGTCTTTCGCTGGCACCAGAGGAGGAGCCCTTCCTTGGCAGAGGTCTCTGCAAAGCACACAATGAAAGATAAGGTCAAAGTTAAACCACAGACCAGGGCTCAAGCTGGACAGGCCTTTAGCCTCAGGCCTGGGGACAAACAAAAGCCTAAGGAAGGGACATCAGACATCAAAACAAGCGGAGGCAGCGGCTCCCATCATGTAAGTGGACGGATCTCTGCCCACCCACCCACCTGCCAGCATGCAGAGCCCAGCTGCAAGAAGCCTTGTCACTGAAGCCACCCCAGGAAGTGGTAAGGACAGGCTGTGAACCTGCTCCCCATCCCTGACTGGCCTGTCATTAGCCACTAGGCCACATGGTATGTGAGCCCTGGAGACTAGCTTCAGCCTATTTCCCATTTCTTCCTTGTGAGTAACTAGGCTGTCCTTAAATTGTGAGTCCTATGGAGACAGGAACACATGTATCCTGATCACCATGGCGACCCAGCACCCAGGATCACCGCCGTACACTGGCCTCGTGGCTTTCCTCATTCTCTGGGCACACAGTGACAGTTGCAAGTGGCAACATTGCTGGACGGCCTAAGCAGGCCAAGATGCACACCCTCAATGAGTACGTGGAGCAGAAAGAGAAGAAGCCAGGCCCAACTCCATCTGAGTTTGTTCTGTAGCTCAGGGCACCAGGCTATACAATGGTGGCTCTGAGCCTGGTCTGCTGCATAAGGAGCATCAGTGTCCTGGGGTAACCTGGGGCCAGGAAGGGCTGTGGGAGAGATGGGCCCCAAGCAGGCATGGAAGCATGGAGACAAAACCGGAAGGAAGTTCCTTCTCAATTCACCAGGTCCTGGGAGAGTGAAGAGGCAGCTCTCTTCCATGGCTTACCTTCCACAGAGATGTCTTGGATGGCGAACCTGAGGATGATGGTCCAGATCATTCCCAGGGTCATCTTTGCATTGCCATCCACAATCTCTGCACAGGGAAAAGGGCAGGGAAAGAAGGCTGTTAACGAGAGCCAGGCTCCTTGCTTCACCCCCAGGCAGAGCCTGCCTTAGCAGGAAGATACACTGAGCATTCTCTAGATAGGACAACTCCCCAGGCCTCTGTACACACGCTTCCTACCACAAAGGCCTTTTCTCCACTGCCAGCTCATAGGACTGCTCTTCCCAACCCTGTCCCAGGCCTGTGGTCCTCACCTCCCACTTGTCATTCTCTATGGTGGCAAAATTCCACCTCAGGTTCGCTGGATAGTATACTAAGGACCTTTCTTCCTGAACAACTGGACAGCCTCCTGGTGAGCCTACAGCCTGCCTCTGCATAGTAGGAGTCCCTACTTAAAGCTTGGTCACAGCAGACGGTATGAGGTAAGCAGTCTAGCACTTAAGATCCAGGGAAGGTAGGTGAATGGGATGTCTGTCCCGTCTTCCCAGGATTCCCAGCTATAGATCCAGAGACCAAGAAGGGCTACCTGCTCCGCTACAGCATGGGGGACAAATTGTTCTCCCATCAGAAAAGCTAAGGCAAGTTTCAAGAGGGCTATGTTCCTTCCGTCAAGGGACATGGCCCATCCCCCAGGTGACGCAGGTACAGGCTGGCCAGAGTTCTGGGAGCAAGAGGGACAACACACCCACCAGCTGCTCCTGTGAGCTGCAGCTGTGCTTCAAATCGCCCCTCTCATAACCCTGAGGAAGAAGCCATGTTCTTCAATTGCCAGACCATTTAAGGGGCCAGGAAACAGGGCCAGGACCAACGTTCTCAAGCATCCTCCATGAAGCTGCCCTCTACCCTTGTCCAGGCGTGTGACAGTCATAGGGATTTGGATAGACTCAGTTAGGGCTTGAAAAGGGAGGGAACATTTGCAGACAGAACTTTCTCCACATGAAGGAGACTGGAAGGCAAGTTTGGTCCCTCCTTTCGCCCTTCTGTGTTTACAGACCGGCCACTGAGCAAAAGAAACACAGCTGTGCAAGTGACAGGCTGGAGCAGAGCCCGGAGGGAGGAACGATCCATGAGAGGACAGAAAATCTCTGGGCCTGACTGAATTTGGGGGTTTGGTTTTTTTTTCACCAATGACCTCTACTGTGGCACGCAAGGCTTGGCACTCCTCTCCAGAGGTCCCAGGCTGGGGCAGGGCCTTGGAACTCAGAGGTGCACATTCTGGCCTAAAGTCCTGGCCAAATTCTCAGTCCTGTCATTAATGGCAATTAGTTTTCTTTGTTTTTCTAAAAGCTGGGACAACATGGATGTCAGGGCAAGAAACTCTGTTTGACTAATGAGCAGAGCTGGGAGTTCAGGCTGCTGGCAGCCTCTGGGCTCCATGGGCCTCACCTCATCCAAAGGTGCCTGGGAATCCAATCCCATGGCCTAAGGAGCTGCTGTTCTAGGTGGACTGGCCTGGAGTTGGTGGCACAGATTTGGGAGTCCACTCAGTACAGAGAGATCTTGTGCTTAGCCTGTGCAGCTGGATCAAAGCCTAGGGGCTGACCTTTGACCTTGCACATCCTGTTCCAATGCCCTGCTCAGGTATTAGTTCCCTTCTCTCATTGTATTCCTTCTCCCCACATGGACTAGGCAGAGACGCTCTTGGCAGACAGAAACCAGGTCATGTGTACAGGGTCCCATTCACAAGGGTTCTTCCTCACCCCTAGTGCACACTAGCTTTGGCTTAAGGGTGTAGAGGCTGTGGATCCATCGTGCTGTCAAGGCAGCAGTCACTGCTGGTCACTACTGAGAAGGTGCTGGGGCTTTCAGTGCCAAGTGCTCCTGTATTCAGCACACAGGTCCTGCGAGGGAGCCAGGAGCCCGGCTGACGGGGCGGGGCGCCCATCCCTGCTCACCTTCTGCCCCGATGGACACTAGCTTGACCCCCTTGCTGGCGATGAAGTCCAGGGCTTTGTTCACATTGTTGATCTTGTGCACACGCATCTTGCCCCGCTCGGGTTTAGGTAGCCGCTCCCCTGAGAAGACAGAGTGTGAGGGGTCTTTGCAGCCACCGACCACCCCAGCCCTGCTGGGACAGGGTGCAGTGTGGACTGCACAGGGCTCCCAGAGCCTCACCTGAAATGACCTCCAGGAGAAGCATGAGTTTGAGCCCGTCCCGGAAGTCCTCATCGATGTTCTCAATCTGAGTGCCAGCCTTCCGAAGGTGGGAGTTGCACCAGGCTGTGAAGGTCTAGGGAAGAGAACGGAAGGGGATGGAGGGTGAGCCAGCATCAGGGTTTCCACCCTGAGTAATAGCCCTGAAGCCGCCCGCCCTCTGAATACATCGTCCCTTAAGATATAGCCCAGGCTGGCCTTGCACTCAGTCCTTGTGCCTCCACCTCACAAATACTGATTAGAGAAGTGTGGGGCCACAGCCAGCTAGCTACATTCCCCCTGATCTTATACGGTAAACAAGTCAGCCACACAGTCACTTGGGGGATAAATGTGGACCCCCAATGCCAAGACTATAGAGAGTCCTACTGCCCAATGTGCTTGACTGGTAGGCTCTGGATGCTACAAACAGTTGTACCTAGCAGCATAGGACCCCATTCGCAGGCAGACATCGGTCCAAGAGGGCATAGGCTTTTTTTACCTAGCACCCTGTTGAGGGAAGACTCAACTATGTATGACCTTCCCATTACCAGTCACATATGACCAGAGACACAAATGCTACCAGGTGAGCAAAGCATTCCACAAATCAAAGCTCACTGGTCTTTCTCGGGGCTGAGGTATCCCAGCAGCCAAGCCCTCCCATTTAAAGCCAGGACTCAGACCCCAAATCGGACCCTGTTTGCCATCTTAAGGTCAAACCCGACCTTTCTATATGGCCCATTCTTCCAAATCTTGAAAGCTGGATGTGCCTTAGGGCTAGCTGCAAGGTAAGTGGAAGGCAGCCATATTGAGGAGTCTCTGAAGATCAGGTACAAGGTGAAAGCAAACCGTGTTCTGGAAAGGAAGGCTGTAGTTCCAGATACAGCGACACTGCAAACAATGGCAGAACAGCCAAGTGCAGGGCCACTCAGGGCCTGCAAGCTGGAGCGTGTTGTCTGTGCCACAGAAGCAACTCAGATCAGTTAGCACCAACAAGCCCAGGCGTCTTCTGGGGAAACTGGCCCTCTCCCTCCCACAGTGCGGTCTGGGAAAACCCAAGCCTCTGCTTCTCCTAGGAGCCCCCAGAACAGAAACGGGCAACCTGCCAGGGACATGCAAAAGCACATTCCATGCCTGGGGTGTGAGCAAAGGCCACACGGGGTGCCAAGGGCTTCCATGGAGCCTCTGGCCAAGTATCATGCATTTTGACAACTGCTGTCAGGCCTGCTCATTCAGACTCCACACAAGGCACCTCCCAGACAAAGATGCTGCCTAATTAATACATCAACCTACAGGGAGGACTCAGCAAACGAGGGCAACTGGAGTGGCAAAACTCAACCACCTACCCCTGCGGCCATGCAGAGTTCCTTGCCTGGGAGACAGAGAGCCCTCCTTGTTGCATACTGCTATTTCTCAACTAGCTGTGCCTCTCTGCCTAGTTTGTGGCCTTGCAATGGAACCACCACTTAACCCACTAGTCCGTTTAACCCACTACTCAAAATGCAGCCCATGTGGGTGTGGTGGTACATGATTAGAATTCCAGCACTCAGGAGGCTGAGGCAGGAAGATCATAGTTTGAGGCCAACCCGAGCTAGGTAGCAAGAACTTGTCTCTAACAACAACAACAACGAAAGTAACCCACAGCCCAGCTTGCCCAATCTAGTTCTGATCCAGCGCTACTCAAACAGGCCCTCTGTGCTGTGGACATCACAGCACCTCTCTCGGTCTCCCAACAGTTGTCTCTTCTTGTCATCACAGCTGCATGCTCCTCCGGTAAAGGGACCCCAGAGCAGCTTCTCACCTAGCTGTCCGTGGATCCCTACCCCTCCAGCCCCCATTTCCCTCTCTTCCTCCTTGGAGCTCTGAATCCAGACAAACTGGGTCTAGACCTGGTTATAATTCTCTGAGACAATTTTCCCAATCTTCCCTAACATCTATTTCCTCTCCTGAAACATGGCAACAAAGGTGCCACTGGAGCTGTGAGCATCACAAGGACCCCAGGAGAAAAACCCCGGGCACGAAGGGCACTACAGTGCTGAATGCTGCCTCCTTCCCTGGCTTCAGGAATCTGGCCCATCCCTCCCCAAGTGCTTGCTGTGTTCTGTGCACTCAGGACTGTAGGCACAGGCATGGCACTCAATCAAGCAGCAGCATTTCCCACCCACTTCCCGGTCTTAATTCCCCACTTTTGGATGTGGATGGGGTGCATGCATGTGGGGGTGGTGACTAGTCCCTCTCTTACTATGTAGCTGAGGCAGGCTTCAATAATTCCCTGGAACTAGAATTAGACACAGTTGTGAGCTGCCAAGTGGGTGCTGGAAATTGAACACAGGCCCTCGGGGAGAACTGCCAGTGTTCTTTACTACTCAGCCATCTCTCCTGCCTTAGCTTTGAACTCTTGATCTTCCTGCCTCTACCTCCCAAGTGCTAGGATGACAAGATAGATGAACTATCATGGCCAGCCTTTTTGCTATAGGAGAAAGGTATCACAGCCTTCTGACTGCCCAAAACAGCAGTCAGAGGCTGAGCTGGGGGCACAGGAGTTCCTGCTTACTACATTAAAGGTCTCGGGGGTCTATCCTTAACACTGCTAACGACAAGAACAGAGCTCAAAGGAATGCGGCCCAGAGCACAGCAGCAGACTGGGCTGAGCATGCTGGGTCTCTGCTCTTGATGGTGTGAAAGATGTGGATGAACAACAAAGTGAGCAAACCACACCTGACAGCCTGAGCACGCAGCAGGGCAGCTCCCTGGTACTGATGCTGGCCAGAGCCCGGGGCGTGTGTCTGAAGGGTGCCCTGCTCCTCGAGCCTTCATGGGTTACTCCAGCATACTGTGGGAGGAGCACAGAGGAGGGTCTCAATGACGGCTTCTTGGGGGTTTGTTCTGTGCAACTAACTTTACCCACTGCAGCTTTGCTCCTGTCCTGTAAGATGGATTGATCAGAACCCACCTCCTGCAGTTGCTCTACAGATTAACGGCGGAGAGGGGCACGTTAAGCACCTGTCACCAGCCCTGGCAGATAGTCAGTGCCAGATGAATCACACACTGATGGTTCCTTCCTAGCCAATCCCCAGGAAGTGTAGGATGCCCTCTCCATCTATACAGGTCCTTGGCCCACTCCTGTAGTTTAGAGGAGAAATGAGATCGTGGGAGACGATGAATAAATGCTACTAGCCAGGAGGAGGCCACCTGTGCTCCCAGGGCCGCCACACTGCTTGCCCTTGAAACACGCCTTCCATCTTTACCCATCCCTCTGAGCACTAATGAGGTTCTCTTGCCTCTGCCCCTGAGGCCAGCTGCCAGAACCTGGGTGAATGAGGGAGTTGAATGGGGATGATAATCTCTGCTAAGGTAGAGGTTAAAAAGAGTGACGCCAGCTAGTCACTCAGCCCTGGACCTGGCACACGAGGTTCTCAGTGTCGCACGTGCCAAAGGCCTACTTTGATGAGTGGTGGCTGTGCCAGGCGCATCTGTCTTTCTGACTGCAGAACACAGAGCAAGTGCCAGGATGACATACAGCAAGAAGGAAAGAGGTGCTCCTTCCTGGCCCTGAAGTGTTGCAGGATCGTCTGCTGATGTGTGTGTGTGTGGCTCTCCTGTCCTGAGCTGAGGGCAAGAGCAGTATGCACTCAGGAAGCCACACAGGAGACTGCAGTCACCACTACTCTGTGCAACAAGACTAGCAAGGGGGCCTAAGGGTTGGAGGACATTAAAAATTCATAGCTTTTTATACTTGGTTACAAAAATAACGCTCCACTCAGATCCTCCTCTCCCTCCCCAGTTCAGACTAGCACTGCGGGGTGGGTGACACAGAGGGTGGTTTCTATAGCTGGAGGCCTCAATCCATGTCCCCACCCCAGCTTCCCAAGACTGCTCTCAACAATCTAGGTGCCTGGAGCCTGCCATCTGCTAAGTATCTCCAGGCCAGGCCTGTGGAGCACCTAGCAGAAATCAAACCCTGACAGAAAAGATGGGCACGGAGGCATTGATCACAAGACTCAGGAGGCAGGTGGGTGTCTGTGAGTTTGAGGCCAGCCTCGTCTACAGCAAGAGCGATATAGAGACCCCATCTCAAAAAAAAAAAAAAAAAAAAACATCAAAAACAAAAACCCAACAATACCTGATAGAAGCTGAGTTGGCATACCCCAACCCTAAGCAGGGCCACTACATGACCAATCCAGTCACATTCCACAATACACACACCTTCAGAGAGGAGGAACCACCACCATGGTGGATGTTCGCAGCCGGTTCACAGTGAGCACTACCCAAAGGCCTGTCACACAAGAGCATCTTCAGGCCCACAGCATTTCATGAAGGTGCTGTTACTGCTATCTGACAGGACAGGAGACAAATGGAGAACATAAGACTGAGGCAGCAGCCCACATCAGTCAGATCCACCGACCTGAACTTGTAGCAGTAGGCTTCAGAGGCCCCACTAAATACCAGAGCTGCAGAGAGTTTGGCAGGTGTGTGTACACACGTGTGCATCTGAACTAGCAGCCATGAGGGAATCGCAGAGAGTAAGATAGAGGGTGACACAAACCTGTGCAAAGGCCTCCGGGCAGAAGAGGCAGAGCCTGCCTAGAGAGAGAAAATAAGGGAGGCCGTGGCAGAGCAGCCTCCCGGGGTCTCTCAAAGATCACTTGGATGGCTGCAGGGTGCATCCAGAGCAGGAGGCCCGCATGTCATGAACAGGAAGAAAGGAAAGATCCAGAGAAAGGAAAAACTTCCTCTGGTACAAGGAGGGCAGAGAAGCCATGCCAGGAAGTCACACCTGGTGTGACTGAGAAATGCAGACCCGTGGACTGAGGCTTATGAGGGAGGAACCAGAGTGTCAGTATGGTTCTGGCAGCACTGGGCTGGTGCTAGAGAGCAATGGACTTCATCTAGAAGGTGCTATCCCTCCGCAGAGGAACCACCCCATGAAAGTAACCTTTCCTGGCCTTTGGCCTATCTTGGGAGGAAGGATGTGGAAACCCACAGGATCAGTCTTCAGAGCCTGTCCTGCCTGGAGTGAGCTGGAACCTACTCTAATTTTAGGAGGGCTGGAGGCAGGAGTGGAAAGGGCAGAGAAAGGAAGAGAGAAGAGTGTGTGCCCAGCACAGCCTCAGGTGCTGGGCCAGTGGGGGTTGG